CCGGCAAACTACGTCTTCTGGATTAACTTTTGGCTTTCTCCCTCTCTTAGAATTTGATACCAGATTCTCCTTGTAGTCTGATATTTCTCACTCACGTGGAGCAAGTTTTAGTTGTTGTTTTGACAGTTTGCATGGTTCACTGAGCTCTCGCTAATGGCGCTTTCCGATTGGTTAATTTTAAGAGGCGCTGATTGACATATGCAAGACGATATGAAAACGAAAATAGTGGGCGTTTCGTTAGTTAGTGGGGGTCTGTGGCAAGCCCTCCCTCTCCCCTCCGCACATTCTGCTCGCCCCAATCCCCCTCCTCTCCCCGAAGGCTTGCTTCGCAGGCTACACTGTTGGCAAATCATGAAAGGTTTGCAGCTGTATATGAAGAAGATGCATCTTCCCACCTTACTCTATCTATCATTTTTTTAGCCGGATCAAAGACAGCAACTTAAGCTGTACAGAGTACATAGTATGTCAGACCTGCAAAATTCAGCTTCTTAAAAGCAAACTGGCCGGTGCAATTAATTTATGGTAACAATGTCAAACAAATAGCACTTTTGATTGGTTCATGGCTAATCATAGGATTCTTAGAAAGAATGGTTTCTTTGCATAGATCGCACTTTTTTTTTCATCAAGGCAAGACTTTGTCTGCATGAACACAATGGCCACATGTATGCAAAATGAAGGTAGTCATCTAGGGAAAAGTCCCTCATGAAGATGATGTTTGTATGCAGAACGCGTAGCATGTTATTGACTTACTACGCTTGTTGTTTGAAAGCAGAATTTTCCTTTAAAAAGGAACGTTTTCCTTATGAATCTTAGGAAGTTACTTTGTCTATAAGATAAAACAGAATACGTAACAGCAATTTTCCCAGAGTTTCTCGAACACAGATCTGCCTGTTTGTCTATATTCAGTCTTTTCTCGGTAAGAATTTTAAAAAATTTCTCTGGACGACAGGATTTCACAAACGAACCATTTGTAATCAATTAACTCAGGTATATTGAAATTTGTAAAGAGGGGCTCTGCCTGTAACGTGACAGATGCAAATTTGTTTTGATTTTAAGAGCACAAATTATAATATGGAAATGAAACCTATCAGATATCTTTCGGGAAAAAGTCCCTCGCGCACATTTTGTTTACAAAACTATTTGCTTTTCATTGGCTTATGTCAGCTGCTTTATCAAAGGGATTTACCCCCAAAATTGGACCTGTTCGTTTATATCAAAGAATTCACGTTATATCATTAATGGACATTTTTGTGCCCAGACTCTCAGACTGTATGACAATTTTTTCAACATATATCTCTTGGTTATCAATTTGCAGTTTCAAAGAATATGCAAACGTTTTGATAATCAAAAGCTCTGCTTTTTCTTAGAATTTACTGGAAATTGTCACTGTAAGAATTTTTCACTCAGTCTGGTACCATCAATTTCTCCTATGAGCTTATGCTTCGACAAAATAAAAGTTGAAATGCGAATTGCCTTAAATACTTAATTTATCAGTAACAAATGTTTATCATTCAGATATACCCACTCGATCATTCCTAATTCAGTTTAAAGGTTGGGTAACAAAACATTTGACTGTTTTCTTGGAAAATTATATTTTCATGTACATCTTTCGTTCCTAAAAAAACTAATATGAACAGTTGAATTATGAATTTTGACTCCGAAAGGCAGCTACTTTGCCACAGCGGGAAGCGGAACATGAATGAATCAGTTCCTTAGTTACGTCGCCATGCTTTAATCTAGATTAGGATTAAGTTTCACTTTTAACGAGTACAATAATGTTTACCAAGACTCTTGCTCTGCGAAACAAATGTGAAGGAAAGTGCAGCAATTTTACAACTGTTTATTTCAACCTGAAGAGCATGAAATTAGATTTTGCAATCATAAATTTGAATCATTGCGACGAATTTTAGTATGTAAAGTGAAACAGAAAGCTATTTCTCTCAAAGAAAGGATGGTTAAAGTATTTGCGGCCTTAATTTCCGACCCTTTTTACTTAACTTTCTGTATAGTCTTAGTGATACAACCAAACAAACGAATTCAACAGGAGAATTTGTACCCTGCTTGAAGAGAGCGATTCGAATTAAAGATGCAACCAAGCGTGCATGAAACATAATTTATTTAGTCCAGCGATTGCAACATGCGGCGTCATTACAAATATTTGTGTTTGTTTCAATCAGTTCTCTGCACCAAAAACCGTTGCTGTATTCTCCAGAATAAAGGGTGAGATCAAATCGTCGAGCTTTTCCCATGGAAGCTGTAATGATAAAATGATACTCATTCGCTGATAACCAACCCACTAGGCCATCCTTTGGAAATACTTATTCCATTGAGCATTGTACAGTGGTTAATTCCGTGCGCCTCACTCCTAGTGTTCCGTACAGTTCACTCACATCAATTTATTTTTTCACTAATGTTTTGTCTTGCCCGACCGACTTCGTCGAAAAGGACTCGAAAGAATGCTCACGCTAGTTAGCTGCAGTTAACAAAATGCATTAATTGGTTTTGTCACTTTTTTTCTTTTGTTAGTGCCGAATTGGTAAATATTGCTGATCATAAAACTAACAATTTCCTTGATTATAATTAGTTTAAAAACCTATTTTCCACATATTTAGTTGCCGTTTTGTTATCGGAC